AAACAGAGGCGGAGCTAGCCTATAGTATGCGGGTTCAGCCGAACCCAGTCATTTTTGCTTAAATGTTGTATTTATACTAGAAAATTCATTAAATATGTATAAATATTTAATTGCGAACCCAATAACTAAGACGAACTATGGGTTCTTCGGCAAATTCAGAACCCATAAACTTCAAATTGTGGCTTCACCCCTGACTACAAAGATGAATTCATCATACAACAAGTATCTATTTAATTGTGACAAAAAGGTCGGAAAATACTGAATAAGCTGAACAAATGAGCTAACCTTGATTGATTACCAATACCCAAAACGTCATTTCCCTCTTCACCATTCTCCTCATTATCAGTTTCTCCTTGAGAATTTCTCCTTCTATATTCCAACCAAACCAGCACCACATGCACCACGCACTGCAAAGCATACCCACAAACCCAAATCCTAATTGGAACATTAGGCGACTCATCAAACGTGCAGGACAAAATCACAACAGAGACAATAACAAAACCCAAGTTCCACATCATGTCCAGTGCCACCACTGGCTTCGAATAACCCCAGTCGGCGCGCCGCTCGTCCAGCTCACGCGCCGCCGTCTCCCTCACTAGCATGGACGCGCCGCCCTGCCTTCCGCCGGTAAGCCGACCAAGAAGTACAGCCAGTGATGACTGACGGCCCCCGCCGCCGGTGTCCTCTCGCCGGCTGAGGAGTGGGACCCTTGTGGGGTCTGAAGATATCATATTTGGTGGCTCAGTCGCCATAATTTTAAAGCTGAAAATGGATAATTCTTTATCCTTTAGAGAGAGAAAGTGGGGTTTGTCAGAAACATAGAATTCGTAATTAAGTGATGTAAATAGTTTTTCTGAAGTTTGATGAATTGGGTTTTGTGTCAGAAAGTGTCAGATTCTTGAGTTTTGTGTCTAAAAGTTGAAGGGTGGTTGGGGATGATCAAAATGGGGGATAGGGGTTTAGCTGGTCCGGGTTTGTTTCTGGTAACTACCTATTCTGAACCTGAATCTTTCATAAACTTTTACTGTTAAAAGACAGGCAAACAGGATAAGGGAGATTAGCAAAAGGTCAAACAAATTTCTCTTTTTACTAGTATGTTTAAAAATGAATAATATATTTTATATTTAAAAATAATTTAACTATAAATTATCTATTTCCTTTATGAGAGACTTTTATAGTTACCCAAATTTTATGACATCTTTTAAAGTCACAAATTTAAAAAAAAATTATTTTTTTTCAATTTCGTATAAAATCAAATTAGGTCACATCAACTAAAACGAATGGAGTAGTATTGATTAAATTCTTTGTTAATTAAGAAAATATTCAAGGTTGCTGTTATTGTCATGTTGTTAAGAAGATGTGATTATGGAAAAGCCTTCAATTATTAGGATGTGGACAGATTGAGATAACAATGTGGAATAGAAGTTGAGAGACATGTTAATTTTACGCTAATAGTATCATCTTATCTGAATGTCTTTCTGTCAGAATCTTGGACATCCATTTGTATTTATCATGAAATACAAAAGCAAAGTTTCTAGCTCTTCAAAATTTGATTAGACAAGGAAGAGTATAGGCAATTTTTTTAACAATCTGTAATTTTTTCCAGTTTAAGGTAATGTTGTGGCACAGCCAGCATTCACAATGCTTAAAGCATAGTATAAAATGTCCTAAAGCAAGGAAATTTATTTATTTAATAAGAAACGCTTTTCCTTCCGTGAGTGTTATACTACAGAAACGTTGGTTTACAACTCTACTGCTAGATAATTTGAATTGAAGTGAACGACCTCAAGGTTTTTGTTACCTCAGCGGCTCAGCCTCCCCAATTGACCTAGGTCTCATCAACCAAACTAGGCCTTTTCAAGCATAGGGCATTGTATGGTTTGCAGCAAAAAATTACTGTTACACGAAAGTAAACCTTACACAAGTTTCTGCTTTATAAACCGCTCTCTAGCAATGACTAGTCTCCAAATTTCAGACCATCATCTCGTGTTCTGATAGCATAGCAAAGGAAAGGAGAATGAAATTCGGCTTAGGCTCTCGCAATCAGCTTCCTCAATCCTCAGAGGATCTGAAATGCGAGTTAACATGATGATCAACTCGTTTTAGAATATCCAAAATGAGAAGCATAAGATTCAACATGGGCTCTTTCATGTGCGTACGAGAGATCATCCTTATCTCAAGAGACAGCAAAATGGAGCTTACTTCGGTGATGTAGAAAGGCAAGAAGATTGAGAAACCTGTAGTTGCATGTTCATGGTTGCCTTGACCAACAGAATGTTGGTAAGCAAGGTCGTGCATTAGACACCAATGCCACGACCAAGTTGCAAGCAGTAAAACTTAACCAGTCTTCAACTCCAAATTCTTCATGATTGAAATGACCCTCCAAGCAAGTTTCTCATCTACCATTGACCACAAGCAACAAAAGTTTACTGTTTCAGATGTGCTATCAGGACTAACATGAGTTCTATGAGGACACTTCTCCTTCAGACACACAGAGACAGTAAATGACTCTATTTGGAGACGGTCTCCATCATTCTGATAGGTTACATCTTGAAAATCATTTGATAGTTTTGTGTATAATAAGTGTAGCCACAGGCATTTATCAAGCACAGGAGGCGTGTTTTCTCCTGGTGACGGAGCTACATCTTTACATTCATCAGAGACACGCACTGGACAACAGTAAGCAAACTGAACTTCATGATTTTCTCCTCCTACCATGGCCACTAGCTCATTCTGGTGCACAATTTTGGGGTGCTGGTTTTTCTGCATGGTGAGCACCCCTTCAGCTACTCTGTCATCACATACTTGCACAAAAGACTCGGTTCTCTCATTCAGAATCAAATCAATGTCTGCTCTTGAACTTGTGTTTAGAAACTTGAAATTTGGGCTCAAAGAACTTTTAAGAAATTCTCTGGATGCATCAGCTTTAACATAGAGAGTTGAGGGAATGCACACAATCTCGTTATTTGCAGGATAATAGCACGGGATCCCGAAGTCTGATTCAATTCCCTTTTTAAGCAATGCCATCTTGGGCTTTTCGCCATGCACAAGTATTACATGTTTGGGTGATAGAAATTTGACCAAATCCAAGATTCCCTTGGCATCAGTATGTGGACTAAAAGACAGCTGATGGATCTGGCAAAATCCAAGAAATAAATAAAAGTTATATAGTTCGAAAGATCAGAGCTAAATAACATAAACACTTCCATATTTCATTCTTAATTTCAAGTTGTGATATCCAAAGTAGTAATCTAAAACAGAGAAATAAACACAATTTTGAGCAGATGGAGAAATGACAGGAACGCCCAATTTTACGTCTCAGCTTGATCATTACCAAATGGTTGATAATAATAATTATTTGACAAGTCAATGGAGTTTAAATGTGTCCACTGTACTGGAGCGTAGACAGATATACAAAAGAGCTACTATATGATGAAATTAAACAAATTAAAGATGATACAAGAATAGAAGTACCTGGCAGCGCACATCAATCTGGGTATTTTCATCAACATTTATTTTGGCGGGAGTTTTAGCGGACATCAACCTGTGTCCTACTGTCCCAGCTACGCAATATCTGAAAAATAGGATCCAAAGGAGGATAGTAGAACATAAGTTAGTAAAATGGTGACAATGAAAGTGGAGGACGTCCATAGCTTATCTCATATGCTTCTAACTAGTCTTGCAATTCAATGAATAGCAAACCAGATAGTTCAAATGGTATTAAAGAAAATAGTTTATCCAATAATTAATGTGCATAAAGTAAAAATGAGAGAGCTATTAACTTCTTTTTCTATGCAATGACCAAAGAAGCTAGTTAATTAATGAAGTTTACACACCACTATTCTTTTCGATGTGCTCAACTGAGTTTTACAGTAAAGAGTAAATAACTCAATTGGAAATCTGAATAGGAGGTATTTAAAATGGAATCTAGATGACCTTAAAACTCCTATATGGGGAAAAAGAAAAGGAAATGACAAAAAAAAGGAAAGAAATCTTTTTAATGGGAAATAGAAAAATTAAAATCCATAAAGACGAAATGATCATTATGAATGACATATTTTCATCCATATATATGAGTTTTAATTTTTCTAATTTCCTGAGGAATTGCGAGAAGTCAAACCCTGAAGCAAAAAAAAAAATGTAAATACTGGAAAAATGTTTTGAAAGAGTAAAATGTGACCAGTTCATATTGACAATCCAACTTTGCTTACTCAACCCAGGCAGTTTTGGATATATGACAACGGCAGGGACAAATGCTAAATTTAAATTTGAAAATGCATTTCTATTCTGTCTCATGATGGGATATTAAATAAAGTGAATTACAGATGGTACCCTGGGAGTGTTATGAGGTTCTGTTCGCACGGAGCCCATTGCTTGAAAACTTCAAGTGAAAATCCCCCACTTATCATGCCCGGAGTAGCAAATAAAACACAAGGTCCAGGAGCATTTATCATGGAACGATCGAAACTGTGGACTACAAAGTAAAATCAGAAGATAATGTAAGATGAGCAAACCAATACATTGATCTTAATCTTTCACTTGAGCTACTAAAGAAAATCGAAGGGGAATATTGTAGCACAACAAAGCTTCATAACCCTGATCCTGTTTAACATAGCTAATCTATAATTTGCTGAAGCTTGCAATGAGTGATTGAGGAAGCACCATTTTTGAAGTCAAATGCATTTCGTGTTGCGGAAGTACTTTTCACCTTTTGGCTGGTCCAGTTTATGAGAACTTTGTAGTACATATTAGCTTGAATAGTCAAACCTGAAAGATTAGTAGCTCACGACTAAGAATAAGGTATCAAAACTACAAAAAAGACATGATATATATCCAAAATGTTTGCAGGATTATCAATTTATCATACCACCAAAATTATTAGTAAAGAGAACTCATAAGAACCTAGTATAAACAATAAAATATTTGTTAAGGATTAAGAAAATTATATTGCTGAGCCACGATGATCTGTTACGAAGTTCACGGTTCTGTAATATTACTCTTTACTAGGAACCTTGTCTGACCAGAGCTCGGAGACAGAGCCAAGCAGGAAAAAGAGCAGTGAAAATTCCTCAGAATACACCATTCTTTTGCTGCGGTTACTGTCATGGATTCAGAAAAGGATGTAATAGGGAACTTTCTAAGAAAAAAAGGTCCAATTGTCCATCCAGCTAATTATTGAGATATGCATCAATTTCAGTTTTCTGAATGATATTATTGACATAACAGTAAATTACTGGTAAACTAAGTTATTCGCTGTCGTTAAGTTTGAGGCAAAACATCAAGAAGTATAAAGAACAAATAAACCATGCATCACACAAGATTGACTGAAGTAGAATTTAAAAAAACAGAAACCATTTTTTATAGATAAACAAAGAAAACAGATCCTGCTGGTAATGAATTGACTATGACTATTCATCAATATCCCACCAGTTTCTCCTTTAGACGCGGCAAAGTTATAAGTCCAGCAACTTGACAGGTGGTAAGATGAGTCAGTGAGAAAGAAAAGTGACAAAATGCCAAATCTTATTCATCACTTTAGTATCAACAACATTGGCTATTGCTTTCAGAGAAACAAAATGGTGATGTCGACATCGAAGCTAAATTATGCATTGGCTCATTTCGTAAGCAATAATTCATATGGTTCAACCCTGAGCACTAAATAAACGAGGAATACCACTATAATACACATTTAACAGAAAATTCCAGTATATCGGCTATGATAACCTCATAAAATCAGATAACTAGAGATTCTGATGATGAGAAATGCTTGTTAAGCTACTACTTGTCATTGGGGACTAATTTCTTTTACAAACAAAGCTCAACTTACTGGAAACTGCTTCTAACTATTGCAGACAGTCTTAGAGGAGAGAGAAGAAGCTGAAATTCAATGCCAGTCAAGGCCATATTAGAAGTTACAGGAACTAAAAGTTATTAGTACTGACATGCACATCAAATATTTGGTGGACAAAATGTTTGATAATTAGAGATGGTTACAAGGTATATGATACTATGTTAGTTACCTCCAGTAAATCTAACTACAACATCTTAGAGGACTCACCTTCTACCAAGTCATAACTACTTTCGACAACAGATCAGACTTCATGATGTACACCGGGATGCTTATGTTTTAGCTTACATATCAAATAAAATTGATTGGCATGCCAACAGCATTATACTGCAGACAGCTTCCTAGCTCCAACAACACTTAATAAAGCATACATAAAATTACAGAGATATAAGTGCACATAAATGCCCCGGTGAGGAGGTGTGAGAGGTTGACCATAGTGGGGTTGATGAGAGGTCGAGATAGGCCTAAGAAGTATTGGGGAGGGAGAGGTGATTAGTCATGACATGGCGCTGCTCCAACTTACTGAGGACATGACCCTTGATAGGCGGGTGTGGAGGTTGGGAATTAGGGTAGAAGGTTAGTAGATGTGACACCCTAGGCGAATCCCACATCGACAAAACACGGGAGAGATGTTGGGTATATAAGTAGATATGTCTTAGACTCTAGTGACGCGTTTTAAAGCCATGCGGGCCTAGGTCCAAAGCGGATAATATTACTAGTGGGCTGGGATATTACTACATATGGTATTAGAGTCACTCCGCGTGCAACCTTGAATGGTGGTGGGGCAAACCTCAGCGAGGATGCTGAGTCCCTAAGGGGAGTGTATGTGACACCCTAGGCGAATCCCACATCGACAAAACACGGGAGAGATGCTGGGTATATAAGTAGGCATGCCTTACACTCTAGTGACGCGATTTAAAGTCGTGCGGGCCTAAGCTCAAAGCAGATAATATTACTAGTAGGTTGGTTTGTTACAGAAGATAGGCGTGCGTGTCTCCTCTTCATGTCGGTAGCATTAATATTAGTCTCGTATTTTCTTAGCTTCATATTCGCAGTTTCTTTAACTTTGGTTATTCTATCACCTTATCTCCTTATCTTGTTGTTGTTACTACTTGTTGTTTCTGTCTCTTTTTATTTTTCTTTGAGGCGGGGGTCTATCGGAAATAGACTCTCTACCTTCACAAAGGTAAGCGTAAGGTTTGCGTACACCCTACCCTACCCTCCCCAAACCCCACTTTGTAGGATTACACTGGGTATGTTGTTGTTGTATAAGTGCACATAAAGAATTCTAGTTCTTTTAATTTGATCAAGGACGGACAAAGATTTCAAGAAAGAAATATCACATAGCTGAATAACTTAAGAAAGGAACATGCAAGGAAATTAAGGGAGAACCTGCGGCAAAATAAATAGGAGCTTTAAGATTCATTCGCTCCCAATAGTCATCCAATAGCATACAGAGTTCCTATTTGGTGAAGTATAGTCCACCAGTAAAGTTGAATACTTGCATTAATATATTACAATGAGAAGGAAACCAAAATGTACAAAGCAGAAAGAACATAAAGGAAAAACATCAAGAAAAGGAGTGAGGAAATCCCAAATTTATCAATCTACATACATAAACCATTAGTAGCAATAAATGTGAGATATAAAGAACACCTAGACTTAGATTTCCTAATTTTCACAACGTTTTTTCCAATTAGAGTGAAATCCCACCGGATAGAGTGGAAAGGATACAGAGGATTTATATAGCTCACCCCAACTATTTTGGGATTGAGGTAAAAGTTGATTGATTGAAATATAGACATTGTTACTTATAACTTGGCACTATCAGACGGGGGTACTCTTGTTGGACTTCTAAATATATACAACCCTGTTGGCAACTCTTGCAGCAATGATGTCTTAGTTTTTCATAATCAAATATTTGAAAACAAATTGACAGCTCAGAGAATTACATGCATAATACTCGAGTTTTGACAAGTTAAACACATCCCTCATGGGATGTCTTGAAACAAAAAACTGATCAGGAGTTACTGTTGATTAATTCTTCAGTAAAATTCTGTTAACGTGTACCCTCATACCTTCAGTTACTTGTCGTTACAGAAGATCTAAAGCTAAAGTATGTCTTTAAATCTAGGCATTAAAAAAGCTAGAATAATTAATAGTTTAACCAAAATAATTGAAGAAGCAAAAACCTGAGCTCTTCCCAGAGCAAATGTAGGGATGAGCACCTTTCCTCCACTAGCAACACATTTGTGAACCTGGAATAATCAGTTTTTGGTATTATAGCGTTAGTAAATAAAAAGTGAATTCAACTTGAAATTGACTAAAGCAAAATGGGTAACACTAACAAAAGAATCACTAATATTTTAAAGATAAAGGACTCTTACTGATAGAGAATTGCAATAAATGCAATGTTTTAGACAAGAACCCTCCACTTCAATATAGAATAACGTAAGCAGAAAAAATTATACGGTAAAATGAAATTGTGCTAAACTGCAGGAAACGATGAAGAGCAGTAAACAAAGAAAACAAACATGTGCATGCACACATCCATGAAGAGCAGTAAACAAAGAAAACAAACATGTGCATGCACACATCCTTTTGATTTGATTAAGTCTTAAAACAAAAAGCAATTTCCCTTGGTACAGATTTGTTCAGCATTAGCAATCAATCAAGGGATGATGGATAAAGAAAATGCAATGCAGTCTCTTTCCCTGCCACTTTTTAAGAGGGAATCAAGGTTTGGACAATACTGAGAAGTGGATTCACAAGCAAAATATCATTTTAGGTTTGGAGTATACAGCACTCAGATTGTACCCGCTACCTTGAAGCCACTGTAAGCACACCATCAAACTACTTAGTATACTTCAGCAGCCATTGACATCAGGATATAAAGCATAGGACAAGAACAAAACTCCAAGCAAGACTCTTATAAACACTCACTCTTTGCAAGCGTATTCTGTCACAGCAACGTGTTACAAGCAGAATGATAAAAGAAAAACATATGCACAACATAAATGACAATTAAAGAGGCAAAAAGAATCAAGTCTGTGTACTAGCCAAAAGTTTCATACTGCTTCGAGAAACTCCCTCTCCCGGGCATATTTGGAATCACGGAAGGTGGTTGCATAAGTTGACCTGCAAGGACAAAAATTTGAGTAGAAGAAATCTCTTGCAGCTAAAATTTTCATTTTCTAAGGTTAGGACAACGTTATTAGATTTATTTCTCAGGAAATCTTCAAATTTTGAATCACAAGTGTGATGATTACAATTTGTTTAAAAGAGGCACTGTAAGAAGGAAGGACCACCAATATCACACCTCCAACTTGGAATAACACAGGGAAAAGGAGGATTTTACATCAAGTTCACACCATTTCACACTAAGATATTTCAGTCATTCCAATTAGCAGGAGACATAAATTTTTGCAAGAACTAACATGTGAATTTGGTGCTAGTCGTCTAACACTGTTAGCATACACAAAAACTATATACTGATTCTCAATATCCAACAGATTTCTTCAGATCTTGAATCATACTTTTCCTTTACAGGTGCAAACTATTTTTAGAGCCAAGCCCCTAGCCCAAAGAGTATCGAGATTAGAAACCCGGTCATGGTCATCAATACACTTGAGCTGCATAAAATCGCGAAATAAAAATGAAACTGGAAAAAAATCATCAATGTTTGATTTAGACAAAAAAATTGACCAAGATTGTTTGCCATGACATGTACTCATGCAGGTCATTTTCAAGATAATATCAGCTACTTACTCTGTTATGACAAGGTCCAGCTGCAGCCGATCAATTTGAGCAGCTCCAAGATGTCTATCGGGTGTCATATTATAATCGCCAGTGTACACTATAGCAGCATCACCCACTTTAGCATAAAACATTGCAGCACCAAGAACCTATACATATAGTTCCATATCACAGCATCAATGTTGATTTACCTTTCATGCATCATTTACAGCTGGATGACAAAATTCTGGCTCTATTCCTTTTGTGCATCATATGTAGAAGGAAATTGAGTTGCACATTCACAAGAAAGAATGTTCGTTCTGATATATACGAGTATTTCAATTGAAGATATTTACAAAATTTTGATGAGAGAGCTAGTTTAGAACAACATGAACTTGGGAGGGATATCAAACAAATTTATTATTCTTTTGATCATTAATCCAACATTTACTCCTGCACATTTTTCATCTACATTTGCTGGTTGATCAAATGTCTTCCACATGAGAGCACCCATCGCATGTGCCATATTTACTAGGAAACAAATGAAGGTAGACAGCTGCAAGCCTGCAATGTAGAGACGAAAGACGATATTTTGATTCTACTTTAAGCTCATATTTTATCACTACACTTGGATTGCATGACTTTGGTTCCAAGAATAAACTTGCAGCTAGCTTCAGCAATTAGGTTATTTTAATTCTTTTCTTTTTCTAGAAGCCAGTAAACCAATGTAAAGTGGCTCCTATATCATTTTACATTGGGTTCTGCTGGCAGTATATTTCGCAATATCACTTTCATACGTAGAATTTCACGTCAATGTGCTAGGCAAATTATGATACAAGTGCTTTTTTCTTTATCCGTTCTCATTGTTTAAACCATCTGATCTTCCAGGCTGCTCTTTTTCTTTTTGTTTTGTGAAATCACTGTGTTGCTGCTTTTATTGAGTAACTTCAAAATGAAAAAAAATTGTTCTCTACCTGGTGTTAGAACAGAGTCCAGGAAAAAAAAGACATACACAGCTTCCCATATGGAAATGGAGTATATATAGCTGCTTGTGGCTTCCAAGTTGAAGAACGAAGACAGAAAATAGTCAAAATACAGTGTCTTCACACAGCTGCCGCATGGGTTAGCTACTAGCACTAACACGAGTGTAAGAGAGAGGGAAACTGGACTGAAATTTTTACTCAGCATTACAAGAGTCAGCAATGATTAACAATCTGCATCTGCTTCAGAAATGTATGTTGAGTTGAAAAGGGAATTGCTAATTCCAAAAAGATGGAATATGATATAAGCACCAGAAAATGCCATTTTAAACTTGAGTTCAAAAGGGAATGTTTGTGCAAATAAAATGAAAAGTTTAAACCATACATGTCCAGCATAGTATGCTCGAATCAGAAGGTCCCCGTCAACCAGCACAGTCTGCTTCAGATCCACCGCAGTAACTGCACACCAAAATGCAAAGTTAAAATAACTCATATTAGTTTGACGATGAATAAGGGGATAAAGATGCAGAAACTATTATTAAGTGAGCATGTCTGCTAACTTATGTACAACGGATTCAGACACCACATCTTGTTAGATCCTCGGAATTCACTTCACTCATCAATTCAATCTTGTGTTTGCATTAAATTAATATTGCTCGTTGTAGGAGTTCAATCAGCAATCTCTTATCATATTAAACTGATAACTAGTGGACTGCAAAAGACGCTCGTGAAGTTAACCTATGAGTCAGAAAAAGTGACCATTAAAACCATTGGAACCACACTAGTGGTATCAAGAGCTGGCAGCTTGGCTAAGGCAATCAGAAAAGGTTGTGCATTAGTCAAAGCTTGCAGCTTGGCTGAGCCAGCAGATTTGATCAAAAGAAACAGAAATGATTTGTCCATTAGGCAGACAATGCACTCATGCAACCATGTGAAGGAGTGGAAAATCCAATCATTGGCAGGTTGGCTTTATCCCTATATATGCAACAACTACAAATAGATCCAGCAATTTGCACATGATCTTCAGAGAACTGATTGGATATTAGAGTTGTAAGTGGTTATGTCATTGATGCACACAATACTATCTTGTTTCAACTTGAGAGATCATTAATATGCTTAATCTAACTTCGCTTTGCCTCGACCCCTAGAAAGTTGGTTTAAACACTAAGAAGTTAACTTGCCTAGTTGACAACTTTTTAAAGGAAATAATATGAACATATACTGCAAAACTGAAGAAAACTCTAACCATTTACCAGAAAATTGAATCACACTATAAAAAGGTCAAGGGAGTGACTAGTAGGAGAAAGGATACCTTTCTTCATGCATTCTGTAATATGCTCAGAACTAAATTGCTCCTCCTCTCCTCTTCTATCAACCATCACTTTGCGATAATCTTCCAGCATCAATGGAGCCAACGCTTTTGTTGGATACTGAAGGATCAGTGATTAAAATTGATCATAGAGAGCAGCAGATCATAAAAATCGAAGTACAAATATTCTTGCTCATGTATTCTAGCAAAAAAAGATCTGGATACTAAAAGCATATGTTAAATGGACTTATAAGTACATCTCTGGTGCAAATAAAAGAGGAATTGAAAAGAATTGAAAATCGTGCACAAAATAATGTACAAAAATTGGAAGAATGTTTTAAAAGCTCCCAACACATCAGGATTTTCCGTAGGCAAACAACTTCCAATTGGTCGTACATTTGTTAACTTGTAACAGAATCTCTACCTAATCCCTTGAAAATTTCTAATATTTATGTATTTTAAGAAAGTTTCGAGACATATGTCTAAACATATCTCTTTTCTTGCTATCGCTTCACATTTTATTTTCATATGTTGTCTAAAGTTGATGTAAATAGCGAGTCATAATATTTCTTTTGTACCATCTTGGTACCAGTTTATTAAAATCTTTACTTATCATTTAAAAAAATAGCAAACCATAACAATTTTTACAGCGATCACCACGACATTCTTCTTTTTTTAGAAGGGGCAAAAAAACAAATTACAAGGTGCCGCGACATTCTTTTTTTTTTTCGATTCATATTTCATTTTGTTAAAAGAAAGCATTCCTAATTCTTAGGTAACTTCGGTTTTTTACGTGTAAATATAAGATTGGCTTTTTAATCAGAATAATTCCTGAGATCACGAAATATAGTTCTCCCCAATAATAGTAGAACTCCGAATTTATTACTATGGAAGATAAAATGCAACATCTACTGGGACAACCAAAACTTTAATGCGGCTACTGATTAGGTGGTTAAATATGCATTGCTGGCAAGTCAAGCTTTATGTTTCAAAAAGTTATGACAATAACATGTTGAAACAGATAATGTCAATTATCAAACTTAGGGAGATATATGTTGTTTCTAACAAAATAAAGTATGTGATTACAGTTCAAAGCTTTCGAAGGTTTTTTTTTTTTGTATATACAATGACTTTGCATTTATTGTTCAAAGCTGTTGTATGAGATTTTGCCAGTAAGATTACTAGTGAAAAGTAAATTCCCTAACCTGCTTCAGTTATCTACTTACACCTTATTTTTTTGACAGAAGGTGAGGAAATATTGGAAAAGGAATGCATTTTGGTAAGAAAAACACAACAACGAAAAACAAAAATCAAGTGAAGCATCTCATCATTCACATCCCCATTTTGCTTCTGTATTCCTTTACTCTATTGAAGTGATAAGTACTATAAAGAGGTAGAAAGGAAATACCGTCATGTATATGGGGCCATTATACCCACACACTTCAGTAAAATATGGAAGAGCTCCAATATGGTCTAAGTGGCTGCAACCAAAATTCATTAAATTAGACCAGTAGAGCTAAAAAGTTATAATATACTATAACATATACATAAAATAGAGCATGTGATTTACCAAGCTGGGGCAAATCTTTCCCCCATCTCTAGAGGGGTTCATGAATTTCATTTAATTATTCAAAAGTGTACAAGGTTACTATGAAATATATACATAATAGGGGATGCAATTCGATTCACCAAGCTCCGTCTCTGAAGGGGTTCATGGATTTCATCTAATTAAACAAAGAGTAAAAGGTTTTATGAAATATACACATAATACGGGATACAACGCCGCGCTGAGGCATAATTCTCCCCCATCTTTAAAGAATTCCACCAAAAATCATAAAACAAGACCAAAGAGCAAAAGGTTACAATGATGTCACACAAACAGGGGATGTGATTCTCCAAGCTGCAGGAAATCTTTCCCCTGTCTCTAAAGGGGTTCATTGAAACTCATTAAATTAGTCCAAAAGAGTTAAAAGAAAAGTTCTATGATATCCATTGGCTGAGCCACAGTCAGGAAGGGGTTCAATCAGCGGAAATCGCGTTACGCAAGTAGGGCAAAAATATTTTTTCCATATATATTAACTTTTGAATACTCTTGTAGTGGCAAAGATAGTTAATTGTTTTAGGTCACAAGTTAACTTTTTGAATCACCTCGTTAAAATTCCTGGCTCCGCCACTGATGATATATACACAACATACGACAATAAGTAGTGGCAGAGTATCATACAAATGGGTGATGATGATGCATGAGAGAGCGTTGTTGAAGTCTCCAGACTTAGAAATTAGAGAGAAATCCGGGTATCTGCGATGGTCGAGGTACCCCATATGCATCCCACAATCAAACATTATCTTCTTGCCATTTATTGTCACCACAGCACAGCTCTTTCCTACCTCCTGTCCTGCCCCTGTAATTCATTTTTTTTTCGTTTAAGCATTTCATCAAACAAATAGCAGACACCGTAGTAGATCAAAAGAATAACTCAGCCAGGCTTTTTGCTTACCCAAAACTAAACATTCGATCGCCATGCTTCTTCTTTTTCTTCTAAATTAAAAGAGTTAACTTCCGCGATTTTCTCCTTCAACTTTTGCTTGGTAAAAGCCTGCGCCTTCAAATATAAATTGCGCGGTAAGGAAATGGTATTACTAACAGGTTTATGAGGCGGACCTACGTTCAGGGTTAGAGCACCCCCAGCTTTCAAGTGGCACCTGGGTGTTGTACTGTACTACTGTTGTAGACTTGTAGTCCAGTGACGGGTGCACTCAAGTTTTCGAGTCTGCTTGATTTTTAAACGCCTGTATTTTTATTTTATTTTTGCCAAAATTGTCCCTTACCTGTGAGTTAGGTATATTTTTATCCCTTAAATATAACCAGAAGCATCTTTAATCCTTAAATTTGCTAAACTAGAACATTTTTAGTCTCACTAACAAAAACCATTTAAAACTTAACGGTGCTATTCATGTGACACTGAAAGAGAACAAAACTATCAGTAAAATAAAAAAAAAAAGGACATTCCCTGTTTAATCAAAAAAGAAAAGTACTTGCTGATTCACCAAGTAGTAAGATGATTCACCAAGTAGTAAAGAACACAAGTAGTAGGAGGCTGGGTAGTTGACGGCGTCAACTTGACGCAGAATCTTGAGCCTTATCAGCAACTTCTTTCAATTTCTCCAATGCAGGGAGAATTTCCTCTTTCAAATCGGGCTTGTCTCTTTGACAAAGCTCTGTGCACTTAAGTGCTAATTTACGATCAACAGGGACGTACCTAGCATATTAACGAGTCTCATAACTTTTGCCTTACATGTAAAAATTTATTAAAATTATAAAAATAGTTAATATGAACCCATAACTTTAAAAATATAATGAGTTCAATACTAAAAACTTTAAAAGCTGAACCCATAAGGTTTAAATTCCGGATCCTCCTCTTACGATCAAGCAATATGTATGTTGGCTTTAGATCACGAGGAACCATAATTGGGGAAAAACTGAGAATGGCCTTTTTTTAATGATGGGCAGGGGTGTTCATAGAAACCCGAAAAATCGAACTAAAACGACTAAAAAAACCGATACTTTTTTGGTTTGATTTTGGTTTTAAATTTTAAAAATCGATCAAATTTGGTTTGGTTTTGGTTTTAATAAAAAAATAACCGGAAAAAACCAAACCAAACCGACTATAAAAGTAGCTATTTAAATTTATTACTACACCTATATATATGTATATATTTATATAAAGTTTCTGAAATTTTATAGTACATATTAGTCATTTGTATTTTTAGTCTAATTCTTTGTTATTATAATAATCTAATTCTTTGCCTTCTAGTTTGATTGGTAGTTTTCTTTTGTTAAGTACAATAATTTATTTCATGTTAAAAATAATCGATTTTTAATTGAGTACTTAAATTATTCATCACTATTTGAGTCAATTATCATCAATATATCTTGGTAAATGATAGATTTCTCAAAGAGCAATTAATTTGATAGTGTTACGTTGAAAATGTAGTCGTTGGAATATGCGTTTGGCAGTGTATGTCTCATATTTAAGAAAAAACCGATAAATAACCGAAAAAATCGAAAAACCGACAAAAACCGACAAAAACCGACAAAAATCGAATCGATAAAAAACCGACTTAATTGGTTTGGTTTGGTTCCAATATTTGAAAAACCGACTTACTTGATTTGGTTTCTTTTTAGGGAAAAACCGACTCAAACCGAATCATGAACACCCCTAATGATGGGTTTATCTGTTAAGTTTTAAATGGATTCTGTTAGTGAGACTAAAAGTGATCTAGTTTAGCAAACTTGAGGATTAAAAATGCTCAGGGTTATATTTAAGGGACAAAAATAGACCTACCATCATAGATAAGGGATAATATTGGCCAAAAACTCATGTATTTTTCCTCATAGTTGGCTCCGGTGTTTTAAAAGGTGTGGGCGTAAGGCGAGACATTTTACATATGCCTCAGCGAAGCGTAAGGCTCGAGGCACGGGGTGTAAACCTATGGGTATTTAATTTTTAATATTTTATAAAATAATATAAATATTAATAAATATTTTTAAATGGATAAAAATATTTAAAAATTATAAGAAAATTATAAATAAGTGAATTACATACATACATACATATATATATATATATATATATATATATATATATATATATATATATATATGTGTGTGTGTGTGTGTGTGTGTGTGTGTACTTCATCCACAAAAAAACTAGTCAAAATAATTCATTATATTCTACTTACAAGTACAAGTAACTTGAGTTGAAAAAAATAAAGTTTTCTACATGGAGAAATAAAAAGGATTATCAACTTGCAATTTGAACTTTGAACATGCTGCTAAGGAGGAGAATGAAATTTTTTTGTATTTGCCAAAAAAATGATTGTTCATTGCGTTTGGGAGATAGGAGCAGACTAGCGGGACAAGCTAAAGAATTGGGAAAGACGATAAATTAGGGGTTCTAACAATAAAAAAGGGTCTTGACTTTTAAATTTAATGTTTGAGTTCCTTTTTAAAACTTTTGAGAAATTACAAGTTGAATTTTGAGAATTTAGGTATTCTATTAAGGATTTATTCAGTAAATTTTGTTTTAATTTGACAAAGTTTCTTGTGCTTACGCCTCACTACAAAAATGTGTCTCAACGCCCGGGACGCATGCCCCGAATTGATGTGCATACGCCTCTTGAGACTTTCGCCCCCACCATCGCCTCGGAGCATTTTTGGTACGTCTCGCCTTAATGCTCGCCCCAAAAATGCCTTTTAAAACATTGGCTCTATCACATCGGACTAACTCTACCATTTTTGGTCCTGTTGCATGACACACAAACTCTACCATGTCATCTTAATTTTAAAACTTCAAACAAAGAAGATGAAAAATACGTGTTAGAAGGATAGTACACAGGTTATGACAAAACAACAGGATTTCATGTGTTATTCAACCTAGCTATCTTGTTGAATGCTACAAATTCTACCGGGTTGTCATGTTATAGCTTTCACTTATATTACCTCATTAAACTTGTTTCATTTACTCTACCGGAGTGTTTTACACTACCTGCCATATTTTTTATTTTTACTAATGGTACTCCAATTAAACCTATTTTATTTACTCTATCAGATTATCTTACAAATTCTACAAGATTATACTGATTTTTATTTTTCACTAATAGCACCTCTTTAACTTATTCCATGTACTCTACATGATTGTCATAATTTTTTAGTTGTTTACAACTATCAAAAAGGTAAAACTTTTAGCTATATTGATCATATCACTATAGTTCATTTGGTAGAGAATTTTACTAGAACTTAGCTCAAACTATTTGTTTATTCAACTTTTCACAAACTATGGCAACACAATAGACTTTAAAATATATGAATATGGTAGACTATATTTAAATTGCTTGTGAATTCCTACCATATAGACATAATCTAGTTTTCACATAATTAACTTGTTTACATTAATCAATCGATGTCATAAGTTTATATTCTGAGGGCATATATGTCATTGGACTCGCCTAATAAATAAGTTGGGACTATTTTAACAAAAAATCAAAGTCGAGGACATTCTTTAAAGACCATACAAGCGAGCCTAATTTTGACTTTCTTTTTTGGTGGAGGAAAAAATTGGATCAATACTACTACTACTACAACAACAACAACAACAACAACAATAAACCTAATATATTTCTTCAAGTAGGGTTTGGAGAGGGTAATGCGTACATGCTCCTTACCACTACCCAATCAAAATAGAGAAACTATTTTCAATAGACCCTTGACTCATAAAAGATGAGAAGGAGGAGAAAGAAAGAAAATGAGCGAAGAGAAAAGAAAAAGGGAAGAAAAAAATAAGTACCAAATAGTGACAATAGGGAAAGACGATATTGAAGTGAACCCAACAACATGACGTAACATATATCTAAGAATATGAAGGTACACGAGTGCTACTAAATCTACTGGTATGAAAAGTAGAAACTTACAACTACCTATTTACAAGAGGGGGTTACTCCGATGGTCGGCACCCCCACCTCACCAAAGGAGCAATAACTCCAACAAAGAGGATCAAAGGGGAGGGGAATAAAAAAAACACATACTAACCTTCTATCTTAATCCCTCCACACCTTCCTATCAAAAAAAAGTTATCCATAGTCACGGATATTTTTTATGTGGTTATAGTTAATATGGATAACTTTATATGAAAATGAAATATTAGTTAGAAATGCATTTTACATCCTGATTATAGTGAGGATATAAAGTTCTATGTTTGTGCATCATTTGTTGCTAAATGTTTAAACGGTGAATCTTTAAGGAAAACTTATATTGTATTTTGGTTGTAAAAGAACTATACACATCTAGTGAGGTATAATTTTCGGAGGTAAAAGAGACATAATTCGAAGGATTGAGTTAATAATTTATTTTCGGAATGAATAATGCATAAGGAATTACGGATCGACTGCAACTAATTTCTTAGTTGCCTACTTGCTCTTGATTTTGTTGTGGTGAAAAATGTGATACTAAGCCACTGTTTAATTTTCTTTTTCTTATTTCTTTTTTATATATCCAAACCGACCGAATCAAATCGAAAATCGACCGAACCAAATAGTAAAAACCGAAATCACCGAACTAATTTTGGTTCGGTTATTGGTGCAACAAATATAAAATCGAAAACCGAATAAACCGAATCAAATTTCATGAAAACCGAACCGAACCGATCGATGCACATCTCCTAAAAACAGCGGTTTTGAAAAAGTACTGTGTATAAATTATTGTTGAATTTGGCTGGATTTGAATGCTTTTAAATTTATTCGGATCTGTTAGTGCATGATTTGATATAGTTAATATTTCAGATTGAAATAGTTTAATACGACAAAGGAAATTTTGGATTAAAATGACAGAAATTGCTACCAGTAATACCGATCATTAAATCTGTATAAGCTTAAATTCTAAGCACACAATTCAACTTTAGTGATGCATCAGAAAATCATTAGTTGGTCAGCACTTTTAAATAACGGAAATCGCACTCATATATGATATTGAATATATTTTAATTGTGATTTAATCAAGTTCACGAAATTAATATTTATATACATATATAGGAATAATTTTCGTATCTTCTATCTCAAATAAACTTATGGCAAAAAAGAAGCTAAACTTTAAAAATATCATTTTATAATTTATTACTATTGTTTGTTATGACTTTACTGGGTTAAATAATATTCACAAAAAAATTGTAAATGATAGTTAAACAGATTGTTTACCCGTAAAACGGTACAATTGAATTTATATGTGGTTCATACACAAGTGAATCGATTTGATCCTAAAATGATAAATAAATTAGATAAGAATGTAAGACTAAGCCTTGAGATCAAGATAAAACGACAAAAATCTTGGTTCCGGAGGCAGTTAGAACAATATTAATAAGCAAGAGGATAAAATAGT